TCAGTTCTCGGGATACCTTTCCACAAACCTCTTACTCTATCAGGTCGAGCGGCGAGCAAATTTGGATGGGCGTTTCTCTATCCTATAGTTGCCAGTCTCTCTTCAAGGGGAAAAACGCGTCCAACCGCTCCATTTCGAGCAGCAAGCAAGTGACTCGGTAATACCTGGCGATGTTTTCTCGATATCACCCACTCGAGCACCCACTCAACTACATAAAAATAACTACGGTGAGAGCAAGTATGTACTCAGTACCAACCAGCCCCAAGGAAACAAACAACCGTAGCTCCATTACTCTTAGGAAAAAGACAAGGGAAAACAAGTAATAATACTGGAAACTGATTCACAGATGGACAGAGATCATCCTCCTACAGAATAGGACAAAGGTAGAAAGAATGCTCGCAGAAGGATATATAAAGAGAATTATTATCAAAGAAATATGCAAGGTTGAAATACGAAAATAAGAGAAACTAGATGCGTAAATGTGACAAGATGTTGCAAGTGAATCAACCAGGGCAAAAGGGCAAAGGAAGGTAGGGTATATCCATGTCGATTATCAAATCCCATCATCGAAACACTAAACATGTAAACGTGAAAAAGAAAGAAAAATTGGCAAGAACGCGGTCAAGAAGGATAAAAGTAAGAATGATAGACTACGTGGTTTCGCGGTGGAGAATAATATATAAAAGGGACGGATGGCGAGAGCGTAAGGGAAATGAAGGGTGAAACATAACCAGGAGAATGAGAATGGGATCAAGGAGAAATCAACGTCTTCTCCTCCCAGTACTGAATAAAGACATAACAAGGAGGCATTAGGGTTAAATTGGAGCAGGCGAAATAAAAATGAATAAGCAAACGTGCGTAAGAGATAAACGTAAAATGTAAGGGAAAAATCAATAACGGAAACACTGATGAGTCGAATCGTAATGTATAAGAGATTAAGAAGGAGAATCGAGTCTGATGTCATGAAGTCCAGTCCGTTAAAGAAGAAATAAAAGACCCGCTGCCACCTCACGGATCAACGCCAGCCATGCAACCTTGAACCGATCCAGATCGTGAATAAAGAGAAGAGGAAATACCAAAGATGCGACCAGATCTTAATTCATTTCCATAGAGTATTCGTCTTCCTCTTTGAAACTCATCCCGGCATGTCCAGAGGTATTCCAGTATTGTGGCTGAGTTCCACCACTGTTGGTCCCGCTCCCGCCGCTGTGAAAGGCTGGGCTAAGGCTCTGCGGGCTTAAGGTATCAGGTTGTAAAGCTTCTCCTGCAATGTTCGTATGTTTGGGAACGCGGAGGCCACTTCCTGGTGCTCGACTATAAGAGAACGTGTTTGGATCATTCTTTTCCATGGCATCAATAAGTTCAGTGCGCATGCGTTTCTCCTCTTCGGTTTGCTCAAATGGCCAAGTCCCACCAAGAGAGGTAATCAGCTCCGCGAGCTCATCTTCCTGTTGGAGCTTGACATGCATAACCCACATCAAATCCCTCATCCAACCCACAGCTCCGTTTAAAATATCACCCTTGTTGGGGCCTTTCTCCTTTTCTTCAATCGGTAAACCCATGGTGATGTTCCCAGCTGTGGCTCGGCGTCCGCTTCCTCCGGCAAGCAACGATGTGGCGGCGTTTGTAGGGCTCAAACCGGATCCACCAGAATTAGCGAGAGCTGAGTTATTGGCAAGCTGCTTCCGAATCCTGTCATCTTCCAAACGATGGTGGGGGACGAGGTGAGAAAGGTCCTGAATTCGTTCGTTGATGTTGTCACGTCTCCGGCGTTCTACCATATTATGCGACGCACGTCGACGTCGTCTCTTGGCTTCTTGTGATTCCAAGCTCTGTGCGCTCGTGGAGTGATGATGTCCATGCACTGAGTCCACCTTGGTGGGTAACGAAGCATGCTTTCCGGATTTCAATATTTCAGAGATTCCCGTATGATGAGAGGGATGTCCGGGGGATGAAATTGGAGAATCGATCAATGACTGTGCGCTACCGGGGGTGCCATCCCATTGACTTGACAGAGTTTTCTGATGGCGATTGTGTAAACTCACAGCGCGCATTGGTTGTGAGGAGAAACTACCCGAATCGGGCGTCCCAATATTAAGTCCTGCAATTGCAGGGGTCTTTGGAGTCATTGGGCTCCTGGCATCGGTAGAGTTGCGATCAACGCCATGGAAACCTGGCAGCCCGTTGGCATAATGTTGGTCAAAAGGAGTATTCATTTTCACGTGAGGCGAATGGGCCTGTTGTCCTTGGTTTACACGGAACTGCTCATAGTTGAAGTTGTTGCGGATAAAGGGGCTTTGAATAGGCGCTCCATCGGGGGTACTGGAGTAGACATGCGTCATTTGGCCTTGATGGCTCATGGAGATACCCGTAGGTTGACGCTGTTGATCCTGAACAAAGCCTATGCTGTTATCCCGTCCAACACCATTTTGTCCATTGAGTTCCAGATCCAACAGCTCCGCTGTATCAATGCTGGAGTTCCCGAGATTGAAACTGGATGATAAGTTTTGCTGGGAGCCGAACGGATATGACATGAAAGTTCCATTTTGCATTGTGAGTTCCGATGGGTCAATACCGTCGTTGGTGACGGAGTGCCCGAAATTAGATCCGAATGACGGACTAGGCATCCCAAATGCTGAGCCTGACATCACAAATTGATGTGGATTACTGCTCTGCTCTTCGGGTTCGTTTTTAATAAATGTGGTTTCAGCCATGACTGTTGCAAGATATGTAGGGAGAATCTCGTGGTGAAATCTAACACTGTGGGTGCTGGTTTTCGAGACCAGCAAACGGAAAAGTAAAAACGAGCCAGTAAAGGGGGACTATGAACGATATCCCTCCGAGTGTCGCAGAGTGGCCAGATCAAGCGGTCCGGTGGCACTGGTGCTACATTAATTCATCAGTTTCCATGTCAAAAATATATATATACAATCACGTAGCATGTTGAATGGATAGCGTTGATATAGATGGGACTGGTCTTCCACATTTCTTCCAGTCCACACACGGGGTTCACATTCATGATATGCCAGTTACATACCGTCAGGGTAACTAACTATCCTCCTCGTCACAGCACACAACAACGTAAAGGATATTATGCAATCGACTTTGAGAGAGCTCACTTCGAGAAGGGGTTTTAAACAATATGGTCTCCTTCTATCCCTGTTAGCCGATGCGTGCAATGAGAGCTCGAAGGTGTGTGGACAGTATCCAAGCTGGTCGAAGGAAGATGCTGAAAACCATCTAAGGGAACA